ATATGACTTCTAGCAATATGTTAAAAATATGTATATAAAAAATGGACGCGCCAAGTGTGCTGCTGCTGGACATTTTTTCCCATCTTAGATTTCTTAATATATTACCACTTATGTTTTAATGCATAAGAATGAAAGATAGTACCACTTGGGTATTATTTGATAATTTGGTTTTTTTTTTCGAGATATACCTCACGATATTGATTATTCTAATTAATATACTTGGAACATTTTGATTTCACTTCTTTTTCATGCCATTATTTTGACTTTTTTTGTTTCCAATATTACATTTTTTTAGTTACGGTTTTTTTTGTTTCCACCATTGTATTCTTTTAATATAATTACAATAGGTATATTTGGAATAATATTTTGATTTCACTTTTTTTTGATAATATATTTTTGGTTTTTAAAATTGAATTTTTTTTGAAAATCATGTATACTTTGAAAATAACACAACTTGATTTTTATTTATTTAATTTGATACAACAGCTTCTTTCAGGCCTTGGTAGAAATTTAAATATGGCGCTAATATGGCATTGTAACAAACTTTAATTACTAAAACATAGGGGGCTAGAAAATTTTTCTATTTCCATAAATTAAGGTTTTGGAAATCGCTGCATACGAATCCGTAGTCGTAATTATAAAACAATGGCGTATCTAATATGGCGGCCAAACTTAGGCAATCTTTATTAATGCAAATTTTTTGTGCAAGACTCACCAAAATGGAATTTTTTGGGTTGTTAATGATGGAATTTTTAGTTATTAAAGCAGGATTCGGGATATCGAATTCAATATGGCAGGTGGAATATGGACAATGCATCTCACAACGTTCAAGTTGGAAGATATTTTTAGACATCAATGTATAGACATTGATTGAATGGGTTTCTGATTGCAAATTATCAATCTTTACTTAAAGTTCAAAACTGTTGAGCCAATATTGTAAATAAAATACGGAAATAATGAAATTTGCATTATTTAAAGTTTGGCTGTCATATTGGATTTGCTATTGTGAATTTTATAATTATGATTGCTGATTCGTATTCAACGACTCCCAAAACTTTAATTTATGGAAATAGAAAAATTTGTTAGCTCCCCGTGTTTCAGTGATCAAAATTTGTTCCGAAAATTTTTTGACGACAGTTCATTCTAATCACGATTTTAGAACTTGAATTTTTAAAAATGCCATTTTTAAACAGCAAAAAGTAGACACTTTAATAAAAATTTTAAGACCTTTTGAAGTATTTTATTATACCTCAAAAATTGAAGTGGACAGAGGCGCTTGATAGAGAATCTCCTATATATATACATACATATAAGTCAATACTTGACGAGATATACAGGACGTCCCATTTTAAATAGCACTTTAAGATTTCTCGAAAACTATAACAGGTACAAAAAAATGTTTCAAACAAAAGTTGTTTGATTTCAAAGAGGACATAAAATGATACTATTGGTTTGACCTTTAGTGGTGTTGTCAAGGTCAGAGAAAGGTCACTTCAAACTTTTTAAATCGAACCCCTCTATTTTTTGTTGCATATTCTTGTAACTTATCTTGAGAGCTTTCCAAAACACATAGATAAAATATTTTTCGATTGAGTAAATCTTGAGTTATAAAACTTTATAGTTTTATAACTCAAGAAAGTTATAGTTTATATACCGTCGACATTAGCATTATCCAAGGTGTCCGAACACTAACTAAAACCTTTTGAATGTTGTTTAGGAACATGACCTTGACAACACATGTTAATATCAATACCATTAAGGCGATGCTGGAAGGTAGAAAATACCGACGATTACAGTTTAGATTTCTCCGAATTGGCTGAACGGAATTGAAAATCCTTTCACAGGGTTAAAATAGACATGAAATTGTGGTGTTAGACGGTCGAATTTGTAGTAAAATCGGGAAAAAATTAAAAAATTACCTTTTTTCGGGTCGTACAGCTGACACCTAACCATAACCTGACCTAAACATTTCATTAGTGTAAAAGTTCTGTAGCTCATATGTACAAAATGCGTGCGTCTAACACCACAGTATACATGAACGAATAATACAAAGTCTTTTGAGCTACGATTGAAAGCGTAGAAAAAAAGAAATCCACTAAACTAATTTGTGATAATTCGTACGCTCGGCTGAGAGAAAGACAGCAAAAATTAGGTTTGGCAGTAGTGCCGGATTTTCCAAGAGATGGTACTTCAATAAGTTAGATAAGGACATTCCACGTGTTTGAGTGAGACAGAAGATATTGTAAGTTCATTTAGAGATACCACTGGCACTGAAGAGTCTGCTTTATCGACCTCGTGCAAATTTTTCCGACCTTCCGGCATCGCCTTAAAGGCTATTAGAAGTTGTTGCTTTTATTTTCATTTTTGAAAATTTTTAATTTTTGAAAAAAAGAAAAACAATCTCCAATGGTCATGAAACATTTTTATCACATGTTTTATCAAGATCATGATCTTGAACAACATTAAAAAAATTTTAGCCAGTATTCGGACAGTTTGGATAACACTAGTTTACAACAAAAAATTACTTTGAGAGACACTGCGTGTCTCTTATAGATTTTTGGATGCTGAAAACGATGCCGCAATCGAAAAAATTCTAGCACGTCAGATTTCTAAGATAATTGAGGTTTAATACTTAAAAAATTGCTTTTTTACGATATTTGACATTGTTTTATGAAGAAGGTTAAACGTGATCTTGAAATTTCGATCAGAAATCATGAATGTATTGTTCATCTCCTATAAAATGCATTTCTTTTTATTTCAATACCTTACTTTTTAGATTTGTTATGAACGATTAAATATAGGAATTATTTTGAATATGGAGACTCCAGCAGCGTCATATATATGTGCGAGATTGGCGGCTCGGCCATCTAGCATTGAAAGGGAGGAGAAAGAGAGATGGAGGGAGGAAGAAAGAAGGGAGAGAGAGAGAGTTGTTTTATGAAAGATATGTAGTTGCATATTACAAAATGCATTTTTTTTTAAAGCAATTATGTATTTTTATTACACCAGTGGATTAGTCACATAATTCTATGCAGAAAAATATTAAAGTACAGTTATCAAAATGTTCCTAAGATATTAATCTGCATACGCTGCCGCGGTCTTTATATTCG